AAATACTACTTACGCACATACGCCTTTCCAGGCCCTGACCTTCCGGTCCATGTGTCTCAGGGGACTTCCGTCCCGACTCGGTAAACCTTCTGGTCCTACCTGCATCAACCTTACGGTCCACATCACAACGCCTTCCGGCCCATAACATATACGCTTTTCAGCCCATATCAAACATATCATACATAACACATAATAACGATTAACTTATCATAAAAATGCATATAACTCATAACATATCCGACCTTCCGGTCACACAATAAAAAACCTCCGGGTACAGTATAGTGAGAAAACTCACCTCGTGGAAAGTCTAGAATCTCGCGTACTCGCTATCTCCAAATCCCAACGACGACTCTACCTCGCCTAATCATAAAAATATCATTTTAATAATTATAGACTTCCACAACTAGACTTTACCCCTTATCATCATTCCTCCGAGGGTAAAAGACCATTTTACACTTCCATGTTGACTAAAAGTCAAAAAAAGTCAGCCTTTTGAGTACGCGAGGCGTACCGCTTGATGTACGCGGGGCGTACATCGCCAACCCATGGATCGGGGTCTTCACCCAGTACGCTGCGCATACTGGGAGTTACTCCCAGCGTAACCATCAGACTTTAGCATACATCATTTATGGTCTTAATCGGTTAAGCCATTACTCCAACTTCTAGATCCGGCTTTATTTATGCATCTATACCCATAAAGTCGAGACATTTAATCCTTGGCATGGCTGTAAAGGCTCCAACACTTCTTAACATCATTCTATTCCAACTCAAGGACCTAGATCTCATGCATGGTGCAACATTTACATCCAAGATTACACTTTTATGAGTCTACAACTCAAATAGACCAGAAATATGATGGATCTAAGCTTATGGAGACCATTTGCTCAAAAAGTCTCCACCTTTGGGACTAAAACCCTAGAAAATGGTACTTGAAGCATATTACATGAACTATATGTCAAGATCCGAACTTTTTACCTTATAATGAAGCCTCAACCTTTGCAAAGCTCAAATTCACACTTGAACACCACTTCTAGCCTTCCCAATGAGCTCTTCTTCTCCTTTGCTACCTTGAAATGACACCACCAAGCTTAGAATACTCCCAAATGGCCTAAGAACGAATACACACTCTCTTTAGGGTTTCTTTCTGAGGGATGGTGGCTGAGGAGTCGAGCCACACATTCCTTTTATAGCCATCCGAAATAATTAGGGTTTTTAGGTCTGGACCGGTTACGCCCAGCGTACCCGAGGTGAACGCGTCCAAATGAAGCGCGCAAGTACGCACAGCGTACTCGCCTAACATGCAAACCCTAAATGGCAACAAATCAAAGATGAAGGGCTAAATAGAAGGGTACCTGGATTTCGGGCTGTTATAGAATAGTCCCCAAGTTTGGTTGTTAGGACCGAAGGGTAGTTCGAACACCCCCAGGTATGTCTGATAGTATGTTTGTGTTATGATATATATGATAGTAGCTGAGTGTGGGCGAGGCCCGTATCTCAGAGATAGTGGAGTGTAGGCGAGGCCCGTATCTCCCAACTAGCAGAGTATGGGCGAGCCTCGTATCTCCATGAGTGTGGGCGAGGCCCGTATCTCCTACCTGTTCATTATATGATTGTACATACTTGTATGTTATGGTTTAGTAGTTGAGTGTGGGCGAGACCCGTATCTCAGAGATAGTGGAGTGTGGGCGAGGCCCGTATCTCCCAGCTAGCGGAGTGTGAACGAGGCCCGTATCTCCCAGCTAGCGGAGTGTGGGCGAGGCCCGTACCTCCATGAGTGTGGGCGAGGCATGTATCTTCTAGCTGTTCATTATATGGTTGTATGGTATGTGGTATGATGGGGGAACTCACTAAGCTTCGTGCTTACGGTTTACATTTTTGGTTTCAGGTACTTGTTTTCAAAGGAAAGAAGTCGGTTGGATCGCAGCGCATCACACTATGTTTTCCGCACATGAGATATTTGGGATTACACTCTGATATGGTTTTACGATAAAATGCTTTGATTATTGACACTTTGGTTTTGACATGAGATATGAATATGAATGTTTTATTACTGATGGTTTTATATTATAACTTAATCAAAACGAAATTTTTGGCTTTGAATTTTGGGATGTTACATCATCCATTCCAAGCATTTATTTTTTGTAACTTGATTAATACTTAATGGTTTTTATGGTGTTTTACGTTTCCCTTGCCATAACCGAAACATCATCTCCATTAACATGTGTTAACATCAATTATATTTTTTGGGATGTTGGTTTATAGTGTTGGATATGGTAACCATCTTTTATCCTCTCTCAACGTCTTCTTCTTGCAAACATGAAACATCAAGATATTTTTCATCGAAATTATATTTGAATTTTTATTTTAAAGTTCATTTACGTAGTTAATTTCGTTTAGTTGTAGCACTTGCTTTTACTCCATTTTTGAAATTGGTGTTTGGCATTCATGTTGAGTGTCCAAAAGTTGAGGTTCTTCTAGTAACAGATGTTTCAGACCATAACTTCTATTTTCTTCATCTTTTTCTTTTCTAATTTTTGTTTTTGTTAATGATATGTAAATTTAACCAGGTTCATGACGCAAAATTGTAAAATCTAAGTTAGAAATGGAGATTGTGGTTATGGTTCATTGGACAAAACTGTGAATTAAAACAGGATCAACAGAATGTGATGACTTTTGCTTTTGTTCAAATGTAAGTTAGAAATAGAGATATTATTATTTATTTATTCTAGTATTGGTTGTTATCGAGGCCAACAAAATTAATATTTTAAATATTACACACTAAAATAGTATATAGTGGTAAAAGGATCGTATACACGGAGATTGGTTCAATTTAAATCTGTATGCAAATCACTTGTTCAAGTACTTGTAAAACAAAAGTAAAAGTAAAATGGGAGGGGGGTTTAATTCTTTTTGATTGTTTGACAAAATTAAAACTAGCTAAAATGTAAATATGACAAGTAAACAAGTAAAAGATTTGATTAAATTCAATGAAGTGGCACTACAAGAAAAAGTTAAAATAACTACAGAAATTCGCTACGAAAGTAAAATCCGTAGTAATTCTGCTACGGATTATGCTATGGAATGGATTGTCGTAGCTATTTTGCTATGGAACTTGCTACATAATTACATTTCGTAGGTAATATTTGAATAACTACAAAATTTTGCTACATAATTAAAACCGTAGCTATTCTACTATGGAAGATACTACAAACTAGTTAGACGTATGTATATTTGCTACGGAATTAGCAACAGAATTGCATTCTATAGCTAATATTTGAATAACTATAGAATTTTGCTACGCAATCGGAGTCCGTAGTTATCATGCTACGAAATTTGCTATAGAATTATAAGGCGTAGGTATTTTGCTACAACTATTGCTACAGATTAAAATTTGTAGTTACTTTGCTATAGAAATTCTTACGGAATCAAAATCTGTAGCTATTTTGCTACCAAAATTTGCTACCACATCTAAGTCTATAACTAGCTTGCTATGACATTTGTTACCGAGTCAAAATCCATAGCTATGTTGCTAAAAGATCATAGGTCATAGCTATTATACTATAATATAAAACCCATAAATATTATACAATAGAATTTTCTAGTATGCAATTTTAAGTGTGTGGAGGTTTCTCAAGTAAAGTTTAAACCCTTAAAACCGAAATTCTAAATTGCATTAACTAATTACTTAATTAAAAATTATTTTTATATTTTATACATTAAATAAAATATTAAATAACCAATATAAAGTAAAATACATTTTAGACCTTAGACCGTTTTATGGTTTTCAATATTCAGTATTTACGACTCATAATCCTCACGAATTTACGAATCACACCGAGGAAACCGATTCAAGGAAACCAAAAAACCCATAAACTGAAACCGATTCCCACCTCTAATATTTAAGATTGAATCCTTTCATAAATTGTGAGTCCATACTTTAGTAGCAACCACGTTGCATTTAAGGTATGCAAGAACCGCCAAAATCTTAGAAATAGTTTGGTAGGGGCCTGGTCACATCCTGTTTGTTCGATCGATTATGGTGCTTTCCGATGCGCATTGGACCTTAACCGAACCTCTTAATAGAAAATAGGGTTGTGCAGGAGTCGATTTTGGTCCCAAACCCAAGCCAACCGCTTTTTGGTTTTTAGAGCCTAATAGGATCGCTTTCTGGTCTGTTTGGTTTCTCGGGTTCTGAGGTCGGTTTGGACAGTTTTTCAGTTTCTTGGGTTCAACCCATACACTGATCACAAGATCTAGGTTTAAACCTATGGGTTTTGGGTTCCAATCCATTTTCCATAAATGAAGCAACAAGTTAAATACTTCAAAAAAACACCAAATTGAAGTCAAATGTATTTGTATTAAGGGTATTTTTATCATTTAAATAATTTCAATCCATTCAATCATCTTTTCAACTATATCCAACAACGTTGACTAAGACGATGAAATAATAATAAAGAGTTCTATTATATTGTTTATTCAACTATTTGATCCATTCAATTCCATCCAACAAACATGCATTTACTACTTCAAAATTTTAATGATAAAAATTATTTTAAGCTATAATTATTAAAAAAAGACAAATGCCATAAAAAACCTATATGTTTGCAAGTTTTTGTCGACATTGGTTTTACGTAAAGGTGTATTTTATGTCTATTAATCCCTTAAATTTGCACTTTTTTTCCAACCATTTTTGCAAATTTATACAGTAAAACTGTAATTTTTTGCCAAACTTAAGGGCTTTTATGTAAAATAAAAAAATAGTAAAACCAACCATTTCTGTCAAATGTAAAGACTTTAATAAACCAAAGGGTAAAATTGATTTTATTTATTTATTTATTTTTGCAAACATCTGTTTTTATGAACCTAAAAACCACAAAAGGGTATACTCGACAAAAAATTACAAAATTAAAAGTTTTTACATGATAAAAGGGTAAAAACTGCATAAATTCACGCAAACTATCGTTGATCTCAAGCACTTTGAGGGTGCTAGTTTTGCATCTATGTCCCGGTCCGTACTTTTCCCCACTTCTGAAACATTCCCCATTAAGGTAACGAACTTGCCTCTCATATACAAACATGTGGTTTAGAGTATTTAAAGGTTGGAGTAACAGCTGTAGTAACAGGTTTTGGGTCAGTTGATAAAGGTTTTGAGTTTGCAATCCAAGTTATTGACTTCCCAGGTCATGTGTAGGTAACCTTGGACTCGAATTTAAAAGCGAGGCTCATGACGTTATAAACAATACGGGGTTTGTGAATTCGTACATCAGCTTTTAATTCCTCTTTGAGTCCATTTAAGAAGACTCCCAATAGGCAGTGTTCCGGCCAGTTTGACACCCAATATCATTCCGGTGAATAATCAAATAGAAGACTTATGATAAGTTGGAGGTGGTTAAATAATAAATAAAGAAAATAAAATAATAAAATGAAATAAAATAAAATGATGGTAATAATAACAATGTAAACTTATTAATTAAATAAATGGATAATTTAAGAAAAATATAAAACCATTGTGAGTAATAGCATTTAAGAATCAATAATGAAAAGTATTAATGGATTAGGGGTTAAAAGTGTCAAAAACCAGAACTATTGTTATCAAGGATTTTGTTTAGAGGGTAGGAAATGTCATTATGGGAATGATCGGGGGGCTAAAATGAAAAATCACATAAATCCTTAGCATTTGACAGGATTCCTTTTGGGCTCGTTTCTGGTGACCGAAACCCTCTATCTCGATCAATATTTAGCCCCACATCAACCCTAATCGACCCAAGCTTTGGCTCCTCCATTGGCTGCCTCCGCTTTGTTCGTTGTGCTCCACAGCCGAGAGAAAAGAGCGGGATGTAGGAATCGGCAAGAAGAAATCGACAAGAGGGAGGATAAGATCGAGATGAAGGGCTATTTCAATGCTCGTTGGTGAAGGAGAAGATATGTAAGTTCAAATCCTTTTCTTCCTCTTTATTTGCTTCGATTTCACTCTAGAACCACCACCATCGTGGAGATGGTGGCTGTTGTTGCCGGCCGCCACTGCCATCATGGCAGTGGGTATGGATGATTTCTGGCATCTATTTTGAGTCCTTGATATTGTCTAGGTGTTGTGTGATGCAAGCTAAAAATCCTAAATCCATAAATTATCTTCACAGCAATATACAACGGATTTTCACTTTTGACAACACACTTTGGGTGTGGTTTGAAGTTTAAATTGTCATTCTTGACCAAATACCTTGTAGCCAATGATATGAAGTTAATTTCTAGCCATTGGTGTCATAAGGAGCCTTATGGGTTAAGTTAACAAAAGTAAAGGATGATGTTTATGTGAAGTTCATATCTTTGAATTCTCATTAAGCCATGTACCATGACCTTTGAGTTGAAATGTATTATACATTTTAAATGGTCCAATAAGTAACTAAAATCATGTTAAAAGTTAATAAAACATCAAAAGTCGTTGAAAAGCCGAAATGACATGTTTTTCCAATTCTGCCCTTCAACTACTAAAATCCGTTCAAAGCAATCCGAACACCTATAAATCATGAGACTTACTTTTCTGTAAAGGAAAGTGTCTCTAGTTTGTTCAAGCTTTGAAATTCCAAACCCTTCAGGGGTAAAATGGTAAACTTTCTCAGAAGGGTCTATGTTGTCACAGATTTCGTGTGCTGTCTTCTAAAAATCATAATAAATTCCTCAGAATTCCAAATGCTAAAATTCCAAAGCCTATAGTTATATATGAACGTCTAGTTGTCTCCATATCAAGGGATTGATTTAATTCTGAGTGGTTTTGTACAGTTTATTCAAAGAGTGAAGAGTAGCCCAGAAATATGTTGAAATGCTACATTAAATTGTCATGTGCATATTTAATTCTACAAAACTCCAATGCATGTAAGGTCAAATGTTATGGTTAGAGAATGATGTCTTATATACCATGAATTTTTACTATGATTTAAATCTTAACCGTCCTAGAGTAAAAGTTACCACATTTGCATGTGACTCTAGAAAGTAACAGCTCAAGATGGCTAACTTGTAAAATTAATATAAAATCAACCAAAAATCGTTAGAACGAGATCCTTATATTCCCAGAAAGATAAAGGATGGAACTATATGAATACAATTTTATTAGAACCTAATTATGGGTTTAAAGTTAAGAAATCAGGTCCCAAACAGGAAACTAAAATCAAAGAAAAGTTAAAGTAATGCAAAATAAAGTTTTTTAAGGTATAATTATGAAGCACAAGTTAAATAAGTGTTATAATTGTTGTGTAGGTTTTCAAAAAGAAGGAAGTTCACTTGACTATTGCAAATAGAGCATTTCAAGTTACGAAGATAGGTGAGTTTACACTAACTCTCCTATTATGTAGGCATTACTTGTTATATGTTTTGTTCACGGATACCCTAATCCGGTAGAGTGAACAAGGTAAGGTAGAATTATTCCCTAATTAGGGGGTAAAGAGGGGGGGGGGTGGGTAGTTCCCAGAAGGGGGAACAAGGTTATAGTTGGTACCAACAGTATGTGTTAGGAATGTTTATGTTATGTTTTGATTTATGTGAAATGTTGTATATGTGTTATGTGTAAGTAAGTGACTTATATAATGATAGAGTAATGTGTATGCTCACTAGGCGTTATCCTTACCGTTGTTATTTAACATTTTTCAGGATCGTCAAGTTTTAATAAAGAAAGGAGACAGGTGTGATTGTAGGCAACATTCTCTCGAAGACTTTTACAAAAAAATGAAAATGTTATCTATTTAAAGTTGGGATGTTTTTGCTTCCGCTAATGTTTTCTTTCAAATAATATTTTATAAGTATGGTTGGAAGTTTTTGATAACCTTAATTGTAGTTTTCAAAGGGTAACGATTGGTTTTATTTTATGAGGATTCAATGTTATATATTTAATATTTTTTTTTGCTGTTTTTACAGATCATGATGAAAAGACATTTCAAGTTGAAAAAGCTAAAGTTCATGTAAGTTTATTTTTAATTTATTTTATAATAAGAACTTAAAAAAATATTGTATAAACTATATACTAATGCAACTATAACATTGTAGGATTTGTTTGTGTCTCGACATGTGGATTTGGCACTACTAGAAGAGGAAGTTCTTGAAAGCAAGTTGTTGTTGGAGGACATGATTGCAAGAAAAGAGTTTATGGGTTTGGATCATATGGTAGGTCCATTTTTCTTGAAAACTCTTCTCAAATATGCATCTCACTAGATACTAGTTTGGAAAATCATCATTTCTATTCAAAGTTCCAGAAACTAGAGGAAACCATACATAAACGAAGGATGAAGTTGGATGATCTGAAAAAATGGTCAATGATACGAGAAACACAAATAATTATTGATATATTTTTTTATTGATTGCATGTTTAGGATTTCTAGTTGAGTTTGACTATTAGATTAATTTGATTGGTGTTTTGGACAAAGTGAAATTTTATTTGATGATAAACTATGTTTTATTAAGAGTTTATGTATTTTCTTTTACTGTTTAATGCAATTTCATAATGTTGATTTTGTTATTAATTTGCTTTTGAAAAAATCGAGTCATTTTTGTGTCTATTTGAATTAATTCTGTCACATTTTTGTAGTTGAATTGTTATGGATGTTGTTATGAAACGTATTCCGTCGCATTTTTTCTGTAACAGAAGTAGGTTGTGGTAAATTTACTACAACATATTTGATACATTGCAGTAAATTCACTATGGAATGTTTGCTACAATATTAGTCATAGTTGATTTGCTACGAAAATTAGCTACGAGGCTAATTTGTAGTTAATTTGTAACAGAATTAGGTCATGGTAAATTTACTACAGAGTACTAGATACGTCATTACCCATAGTGGATTTGCTACAGAAACTAGCTACGAATTTAGTTTGTAGTTAATTTGCGACAGATTTACTACGGATTGTGGCATAGTTAATTCACTACGGACTTGCTACGGAAATAAATTGTAGTTAATTTACTACGATGTTGCTACAGATGTAGTCCATAGCAAGTTTTTTACGAAATAAGTCTGTTGCAAATTCCGTAGCGAAGGTGCTACGGATTCCGTAACGAACCTTTACTAACGAAGAATTTGCCTACAAAATGGATTCGTAGCAAAATCCGTTGCTAATCGATTTTAACTACGGAATATCATGTTTTAGCTACGGAATTTTTCCGTAGTTATTTCGACTTTTTCTTGTAGTGTGGAATTGGTTGATTTTGGGATACAACACATGGATGACATAGTTGACTTATCATTAGACTAAAAGGAACAACACTTGTGAATTTATTTAACTTGGCTATAGCAATTCATAAGCACAAATTACCTCAACTCTTCTTAGATATTAAAATGGTTAGAGGAGCTCTAAAACATTCCCTTAATTAAAGTCACAAAATCAGTTAAACATATAATCTTATGTAAATTAATTAGCTTTGAGTTCTAAGAGTTACCAAGTCCATAAGATAATCAAATGCTTACATTATCATTATGGAGGAATGTTAGGTGCAATTTGTGCACCTTTTTGCACATCTTTTAGTCCATTTTCATACATCTATTTAGCATAATTGTTCTTCATTTGTCTTGCATTTCATCACATTTTATGTTAGTCTCTAGAACAACCTTATTTGCACATTTTCATGTCTTTTTCAGGTAAACCGGAGGTTGGAACGCGCTTTAGGAAGTTTCGGGAAGCATTGGTGAACATTTCGGAATGATCGAGCGAAGAACAAAAAAGTTGGAAAAATCAAGTTTGGATTCGGAGTTAGAGGGGAACACAGGCCATGTCAGATTTACTCTATGTCCAACACGGGCCGTGTTGACCAAAATGTGAGTTGTAGACCATGCTGAACACGGGCCGTGTCAGGTTTACTCTATGTCTAACACGGGCTGTGTTCGACCCAGAAACTAACTTTTGGCAGTTTTTCTATTTTTCATATTTGGGTCATTTTGGGGGGACACACAACATATCAGAGCACATTTAGAGGAGGATTTTCAAAGGTTTTTGCAAGGTTTTGATTAGCAATCATTTGGAAACGTTATTTCTAGTATTTGTAAGTTGTAATTGCACTTTAATTCCATCTTTTATTCTTGTGATCTTGTTCTAGCCATGTGTGGCTAGAACCCTGTGACAAACCCAAAAATTTTCATTCTGTAAAACCATCCACATCAATCGAAGTCAAATCCGTTCTGCTAACTTTCAAACTTTTGGGATAAGTTTGAGTATTTCAGGATTTACACTTAAAGAGAAATCAGGAGAGAGGATGCACTAGGGTATTGTGCAACTCTGTTTTTCCAAAACTCATTGATATTAGAGTTCAATGCCTGAATAAAATATTTTCTGCGAAAAACCCTAGGGGTATATATATATATATATATATATATATATATATATATATATATATATATATATATATATGGTTCTTAGCCATATTTATTCATTTGTTACATTTCCAACTAGAGAAAAGCCGATTTCTCTCTCAAGGATCTTCATCCGTTCACCCCCAATTGTAAGTACTTCGACCCTATAGTGTATTAAAGGGTACTACATGACTAGATAACATGGAAATCATCCATAAAACCCAAGGAAAGGGTGTTCACGGCCCAAGATCCTCTTGGACCGTGAACACTAAATTTGAGGCCAAAAGTGTGCCTTATGCCCCTATAGACCTTGGAACCGAACATGGAACTACCCTTGACATTTCTAGGCCTTAAAATCATTAAGAAAAAAGGGCTAGAAGTGAGTTCATGGCCAAGGATGTTCTTGGGACGTGAATTCCATTTTATGGTGCCAAAATGCCCTAAATGCATTCCTTAAGCCAAGAGACTAGCCTATCACTTTACCTTGATGTGTTTAGGACTAAAAACAATCAAAATACCATCACCCATAGGTGATTACGACCGCAAACTCAAGCCAAAATGGTCCAAGGGCTGAAAACTCAAGTTAGGGGTGTTTTGATGCCACAAACACTTCCTAAGGCTTAGACTTGCATTGAGGATTCTTCTTTATGACCTTTAGGACCCTAAACATCCCTCATAAACATAAATGCCATGAGTTTACGGTTGTAAACTCATTAGGGCCGTAAACACCTCAAAAACTCCAAAGAATGTGGTTTTCCTCATCCTATAGTAGAGCTAAGGTCCCTAAATCATTCCCTAGCCTTCAAACTTGCATTCATACATGAGTAACCATGAGTTTACGGCCGTAAACTCCTTTGGGCCATAAATCCATGGTAGTAAACTCATGTGAGTGCCATTCTACCTTCCTTTGTTGAATCACATGTGATTCTAACACTTGGTCAAGGTCTTTCCTTTTCCCGGAAGGTGTTTCCTTTCATGTAGTTGTTTATAAACACTATATTCATGTCAATATGTGTCCTTATATATCATTTAGGACTTATTGTGTCTCGGGACTTCATTCGTGGAACTTCTCATCCTTACACGCATACCCGTTTGAATCACCCACATCAGGTGAGTTCATACCCCGTAATGAATCTTTTAACTATTTTAACTGTTTTAAGCGGGGGAATACAGGTTGAGCACAATGATAATTGTGTAAATGTTTGTTGTTAAACATCTTTCAAAATGTTACTTATGTTAATTATAAGTTTTCAAAACATTTCAAAACTCGTTTAAAGTTATGTTACTTGATAGTTATACAAAACTGCGTTTGTAAAGTAAAAGCATAACTTAGTAGAGAAATGAGTCTTTTTAGTAATAGTCCAAGTAGAGCATTAGTAAACTATTATAGGTATAGTTTAGAAGAATGCTATTCATTACTTCTAGTAAAATGAAGCACACAAGGAATCAATACCAGAAAAAAAAAAACAAATAGTGCAGAGAATCAAACAACACCAAAACAGAACATAACAAACAAGTTAGGTTGCTATAGCATGAGAACACACAGAAAAGATCTAATTATACCAATGAATCACTAACGCATTAGTGATAGTTATATTGGGTATACATGATCATATAACTTTAATGTGAATTACACGGCTTGCAAGGAATCGTTGGGGTCGCGTTTGGTTCCCTTAATCTCTTTACACTGAGAGCGTTTAGTAGGGGTTCTAGCTTTCACGTTATGACAGTAATAAAACAAATATGTTTTTAGGTTATTAGTACATCCGCATGTCATTATAAACGACATTTGTGTACTTACTTCTCCCATTACTTTCATAAAGTGTCGGTACCACTTGAAAGTTGATCTATTTTCTAGTCAAGATAGTTATAAACTAGGGAGAATATAATTCTACATTTGACAAAGGAACAGTAGGGTTCAACTCAGAACAGAAGATGCCTTGGTAGAAGGCTACGATTAAAGGTTAGGATCATGATGCTAACTTTATGATTACTTAATGTATATGCTATAGGATACATATATGCTAGTAGATTCCGACAGCTAACAGGATGTGTGCTCTTTGTTGTAATTCCTGTTCCTGTTGGATGTGGGCTTGCACCGAGGTCACCCAATCTATTATCTACCCGAATCTATATATATATATATCTATGCTTAGTATACATTAAGTCATCATAAGGGTACCAGGTATGGATCAGGTCATAGGACACAGAGTCAACGCACAGTTATTCTAGTACAAAACTTACTTATCAAAGTCAGTATTTTTGGTATATAAAACTAGAGATTTCCCAGAAAAGGGCTTAATCCATACTATTAAGCCAATACAGTTTTAGAGACTTTAGATGAGTTAACTTTATAACACCTTAGTTTATACACCATGTTTATATATAAAACTAATATCCAATAGATAGCTAAATTTGTGTTTTCCCCGACGTCTTATTCCTGTTGGATTGTGGGCTTAGGGCAGATTCCCCCAATTAACTATCTACCCGATATCAGATTATATATAGCAGTATGAACAAAGCTATTATAAAAGTAATCACCGTAGTCATTATTTTACTATAAGAAATATAGGTTTTCTTAAAAGAACTCTCCATTAGATATAAAAGAACCATTACAAATAACTCCATGAGTAACAAGTGAATACACCAAGGTTATATATGACAACGATCTAACAACCAATAGAATGTGTGCTATCCGCCTTACTTGTTGTTCCCTGTTGGGTTGTAAGTTTAGGGCAGATGCGCACAATCACTTGTGCATATACATTTTCAACCACAATTTACAGCTTACTCACATCACTAAAATCTTATGAACTCACTAGCTCAATTGCTGATCAACTCTTTCAAATAACTTGTATTCTCGGGAGACTATTAGACAGGTGCTCATGCTGGGACTTCAGAAGATGGAGCATTATAGCTTCAAGTCTTGTTTTGTTATTTGTTTATGACTTCTATGTTTTGTGAACACACACATTGTAAACACTTTC